TCTGCCAACAGGTCAATTCTGACTTGCAGAAGCTGGCTGTGAATATGGTTCCATTCCCACCGGCACTTCTTCATACCCAGTTTTGCCCTGCTGACCAGCCAGGGAAGCCAGCAGTCACAAACCCTGACAGTGCCCGAGCTCACCCAGCAGATGTTGGATGCCAAGAACAGGATGGCAGCCTGTGACCCCCGCCATGGCCACTACCTGATAGTGGCCACCATGTTCAGGGGCTGCATGTCCATGAAGGAGGTGGATGAGCAAATGCTTAATGTCCAAAACAAGAACAGCAGCTACTTTGGTGAGTAGATCCCCAACAATGAGAAAATGGCTGTTTGTGACATCCCACCCCAAGGGCTAAAAATGCCCACCCCCTTCATTGGCAACAGGAGACCCATCCAGGAGGTGTTCTAGTGCATCTCAGAGCAGTTCACAGCCATGTTTCCACACAAGATCTTTCTGCACTGGTACACAGGTGAGGGCCTGTAAAAGATGGAGTTCACCAAGGCCAAGAGCATCATGAATTACCTGGTGTTCAAATACCAACAGTACCAGGATGCCACGGCCAAGGAAGAAGGCAAGTTCGAGGAGGAGGTGGCCTAGAGCCTCCAGTCACTGGGGAAAGTAAGGAAGCAGTGAGAACTCTTAATTCATTCCCAGCCTGTCCTCTGGCCTGTCCCACTGTGTGTGCACTTGCTGTTTTCCCTGTCTACGTCCCATGCTGTAAAGACACCATTATTAAAGCATTTTCATAGTGAAAAAACTTGTTTTGGTTTATAGCCATGTGATCTTTTTTGCCCGATATACATTTTGTCTTCTATAAAATACCTGTGCACCTACTGAATACTTCCGTGTGTGACTGCATGTGTGTCTGTATGTCATAAAGAATAATTATCTACACATCACAGATATAGATCTCAGAGTTTAACTGTGTATGCATTCCTGTAATCTCTTCATCTCATAAGAATCTTAATTTTAATCTTGGACACAGAGGCTATCCTTTACCTTTTGAAACAGAGATTGGAAATCCCGGGGCCTGAACTGTTACACCCTAAGGTTAGTAAACTTCAATGAACATCTTTTTGCTGATCTTTTGAGTGGCAATATTTTTATTTAACCAGTGGGAGGGATGGGGTTCTCCCTTTTAGCAGCTATTTTGCAAGATGCTTTCCTCATGGGCTTGGTCTCCTTGTCCTCACCATGACCTGATAACCACATCAGTCCCGGCTCATTTCTGAGTAAGCTGGGGCTTTCAGCCCCACTGAGAATTGGCATCTGGGCTCAGGTAGCAGGGACACAGTGAAGGGGGAGGATTTTGCATGCCAAGGTTGGAAGGGGCAAAGCTGGGAGTTGCAGGGGGCAGAGAGGTTTCTGGGGATAAGATGATGCCAGAACAGCTCAAGATTGGCCTTGAGTTCCCCTCTAGAGTTGACCTGATTCTGAAGACCAAGGTATGGCTCCAATAAACCAGACCCATCCTCATCGTTAGTCTCCTGGGGCCATAAAATCTAGGGGAGACAGGGTCCCCTGACAGAACCAAGTTAAATTTCCCAGAGATCTAGGCATTCATTTACCCTGATCCAGAGACTTCATACACCCCGGGAAAGAATCACCATTCCTGCAGATAATGGACTAAGGCCAAGAGGGCAATGAGGAAGTGCTGGGGGCATAATTCCCTGTGCACACCCAGCCATCTGCACTCTTCCATGGTGGCTCTGTGGGGCCCTCACACAGCCTCCATGCTCCTGCTCACACTGCTTGCTCAGCCAGGAGCCTTCCAGATCCACCTGAGTTACGCAAATCCCCAAGTGAAACCAACCTGCTTCAGCCTTCTCTTCCACAGCCTCCTGTTTATTCCCAGGAGATTCAGTCTCTTTCTTTTGTACCCTGGGTCCCTTCACTTGTGCTTCCACTGTGGGTGGTCACAAGCTCTGTGGCCTTTGGTGTGGATCTCTCTGTTGGAAGACACAGGATGCCCTACAAGTCAGGGATGGGTGTCATCCCTCACAGAGACAGCCATGTGGCCCAGGATCTATATGCACCTGCAAAACTGCTATTTCTGGCTTCTATAAACAATCTCTGGCTGAGCTGGTGGCTCACACCTATAATCTCAGTGCTTTGGAAGGCCTAAGTTGGCAGATGGCATGAGTCCAGGCGTTTGAGACCAGCCTGGGCAACATGGTGAAACATAGTCTCTACAAAAACTTGAGAAAGAGAGAGAGAGAGAGAGAGAGAGAGAGAGATGGGCACAGTGGCTCACACCTGTATTCCCAGCACTTTGGAAGGCCGAGGTGGGTGGATCACCTGAGGTCAATTTGAGACCAGCCTGGCCAAAATGGTAAAACCCTGTCTCTACTAAATATACAAAAATTAGCCAGGTGTGGTGGTATGCACCTATAGTCTCAGCTACTCAGGAGACTGAGGCAGAATAATCACTTGAACCTGGGACACGGAGGGTGCAGTGAGCTGAGATCTGAGATTGCACCACTGGACTCCAGCCTGGGTGAAAAAGTGAGACTCCATCTCAAAAAAAAAAAAAGAAAAGAAAAGAAAAAGAAAAAGGGCACTGTGGCTCATGCGTGTAATCCCAGCACTTTGGGAGGCCAAGGTGGGCAGATCATGAGATCAATAGATAAGACTGTCCTAGCCAACATGGTGAAAACCTGTCTCTACTAAAAAACAAAAAGTTAGCTGGGCATGGTGACAGGCACTTGTAGTCCCAGCTACTTGGGATGCTGAGGCAGGAGAATCACATGAACCGAAGAGGCAGAGGTTGCAGTGAGCAGAGGTGGCGCCACTGCATTGTTATACCAGAGCAAGTATAGAAAATTAACACCTAGACAAAAGTATGCCAAATTGCAGGGTCTTTATTGCTGGCGGCCACGGAGGACTCACGTCTCTCCAACTCGTGGCCCCGAGCTCAGGGGGAGCAGGGTTTTTAAGCTGAAAAACCACATTCTGGTTTTAGGACCAAGAGGGTGAGGGGATGCAGGGCAGGCAACTTTACAGAAACTATTTCTGGCAGTTTCTGATAAGCAAGGGGTAGCAGCTTTACACAGTGGACTTCAAGTTAAACATTACAATGGAAAATTTTTTTTCCTTTTTCTTCTCAATCAGCATTTTTCAGAGCAAGCTAGCTGTTTTTATTTACAGAAGCCAAAGTCAGCAGTTATCGCAAGGAGAACGGGGCAGCAGTTACAACTTATTTTTGGAAAAACAGCTTTATCTTGTATAAAATGGCATTGCTTAGGTTCTAACTCTAGACCAGCTATAGCACACAATACAGCCTAGCGACAGAGTGAGACTCTTTCCCCTAAAAAGAAAAAATAAATAAAAAATAGCCAAACGCCAGGTGTAGTGGCTCATGCCTGTACAGTAATCCCAGCACTTTGGGAGGCTGAGGTGGGCGGATCACGAGGTCAACAGATCGAGAGCATCCTGGCCAACATGGTGAAACCTCGTCTCTACTAAAAATACAAAAAATTTAGCTGGGCATGGTGGCGCACCTGTAGTCCCAGCTACTCCGGAGGCTGAAGCAGGAGAATTGCTTGAACCTGGGAGGTGGAGGTTGCAGTGAGCCAAGATCACGCCACTGCACTCCAGCCTGGCACCTGGCAACGGAGCGAGACTCTGTCTCAAAAAAAAAAAAAAAGAAAGCCAAACATGGTGGTGTGTGGCTGTAGTCCCAGCTGCTCCTCTGGAGGCTAAGGTGGGAGGATCACCTGAACCCTGGAGTTGGAGGTTGCACTGAGCCTGGATTGCACCACTGCACTCCAGCCTGGGTGACACAGTGATACTCTGTCTCTACAAAACATAAAAAATTTGTCTTTATGTACAAGAGATACCTGCTGCCAAACTCATTAAGAATAAATAATGCAACCAACTGTGTACTCTCAGAAACTTGAGAAATGTGACCAGGATCTCAGCCAGTGTTACCCTTGTACTGCAAAGCCCTGCAGTACCATCTGTGACATTTCTTTCTATTCACTCAAAAAAAGAAGAGATTAATTTTTTTTTACAAATTACTTTATACTGTTCAAATCAACACATCAAGTGGTGCATTTAGAGGTGTTGGTCGAGGTCTTAGAGGCCACGTGACTAGAGAAGGGGGCTGAAGTCTCAGAGGATACTCAGGAGAAGGTTGAGTGTTGGTTGAGAGAGCAGGTCATCCAAGTGAAGGAGTTGGCTGAAGTACTAGATAAGACCTAGGTGAAGGAGCTGGCTGAGGGCTGAAAGGTCATGAGTAGATAATTTAGGTACTAGAGGAGACTCATTTGAAGATGATAGCTAAGGGAGGCCACCAAGGTAGATAAGGTGGCTGAGGTTCCAGATGCCTTTAACTGGAGAAGTAGGCTGAGGTCCCAGAGGCCACACTGCTGGAGGAAGAAGATGAGGTCCCCCAGGATAGACACCTGGATGAGGTGAATGGGGTGCCCCAGGAAAGACAGGTAGATGAGGTGGATGGGGTCCCCCAGGACAGATAGAAGGATAAGGTGGTTGTAGTAACTCAGGACAGACAGCTGGATGAGGTGGATAAAGTCCCATAGGCGATGCAGCTGGAGGAGGTGGTGGGAGTCCTACAAAACAAACAGCTGGAAGACATGAAGGAGGTCCCAGAGGACACTCGATTGCTGGAGGTGTCTGCAGTTTCAGAAGATCACCAGCTGGATAAGATGGTGGAGGTACAGGAGAGCACTTGACTGGAGGAGGTGACTGTGGTCTCAGAGAACCTTCACTTGGAGAAGATGGTTGAGGTGGCACAGGACCCTTGAGTGAAGTAGGTGGCTGAAGTCCCAGAGGACACATGAGTAAAATAGGAGGTTGAGGTGCCAGAAAACACTCAAGTGGTGGAGTCACCTGTGGTCTCAGAAAATCATTAGCTGAAGAAGATGGTACAGGTAGCAGATCTAACTTGGGTGGAGGTGTGTGTGGTCTCAGAAAACCTTCAGCTGGAGGTGGTGGTAAAGATATCAGAGAACACTCAAGTGGAGTTGCGTGAAGTCTTAGAACATCTTCAGCTGGAGACAGTGGTAGAGATACCAGAGGACGCTCAGGTTGAGGTGTGTTGGGTCCTAGAAAATCTTCAGCTGAAGACGGTGGTAAAGGTACTAGTGTACACTCAGGTGAAGGTGTCTGTGATCTCAGAAAATCATCAAGAATGTGAAGAGATACCAGAATACACTCTATTGAAACAGGTAGTTGAGGTCTCAGGGGACACTCAAAAGGTGGAGCTACCTGTAATCTCAAAAAATTATCAGTTGGAGAAAGTGGTTGGGATCCCAGAGGACACTGGATAGAAGGTGTGTGTGGTCTCAGAAAATCATCAGCTGGAGATGATGGCATCAGTACCAGAAGACACTGGAGTAGTGGTGTCTGTGGTGTCCAAAGATTATCATTTGGAGAAGGTGGTAGAGGTGCCAGAAGACACTCAGGTAGAGTTGTATATGGGCTCAGAAAATCATTGGCTAAAGGTAGCAGAGGTAACAGAAGACACTCATGTGTAGGTGTCTGTGGTCTCAAAAACTCATCATCTGGAGAAGGTGGCAGAGATACCAGAAGACACTTGGGTGGTGTTGTGTATGAGCTCAGAAAACCATTGGCTGAGCAAGGTGGTAGAGGTGCCAGAAGACATTCATGTGTAGGTGTCTGTGGTCCCCCAAAATTATCATCTGGAGAAGGTGGCTGAGGTCCTAGTGGACACTGGAGTCAAGGAGTTGTCAGAGGTCCCAGAATACCTTTAGCTGATGGGAATGGTTGAGCTCCCAGGTGACACCCTGATAGAGGAAGTGGCCAGCAACCCATCAGTGGTCTTGAAGGGTCAGCCATGATGTAGGGCAAGTAGGACAATCCTGAGCAATGATGATGTTGTGCTGCAGCCATATTAACCTGCAGGAAGAAGGAGGAAGTGTTTTGAAATTATTAATTTGATGGACAAAACTGCCAACAACAACACAGGCTACACCTTATGTTGCTGCTGATAGTTTTTTGCACCTTTCCATCCTCCAGGTTTCAAAATAGCAGCATTAGTGTCATGAAGTCACCCTTCCACTAAGTACCGCCAGCAGCTGGGGCATGAAGAAAAGTCATTGGGACAAACTGTTTTCTCCACATGCCACTGTGTCTGTCTGCAAATGTAGGCAGGCTGCGGGCCTGCCCCAGGGAAGACAGAGTCATAACACAGTAAGGAAGAAGCATGTTTCAGACACAGGAGTGTCTATATCTATCCTCATTCCTCCCTTACCACCATCACCAGAGCATGCTCCTTGTATCAGATAAACAGCAAGTAAGAGAGGCATGAAAAACCCATTGTCCACACGTGTTGCAGCTTGTTTTTGGAGAATATTCTCCAGGCCTTTTATGTTCTGTCTCTGATTCTCAGAACTGTGCAAGTCAGTGTGACCACCCTGCTCCAAATCTAAGAAAACAGAAGCTCCCCAAGGAAGCAGAGCATGTGCCCAGGGTCACACAGCTTGCAGGAGGCAGAGTGGAAGTTGATTCCAGCTCTGCCTGCAGGACCCTCTCATTTCCCATCCGCTTCCCTTCTTAACAAAGGGTCTTCTTCACTCTGGGGGTGCCCCCTGTGAAAACAAATGGCTCTGGGGAAGTGTGGATTCCTGAAGACATGCAGGGGAACTTGGAGAGGGTTTTCTGACAGAACAATCTAACATACTGAAGTCAGTTACGCATGGCTGGAATATTTCTTTTAACTCCCAGGTAATACAAATTTTAAGTGCACTTTGACATAAATAATACTATTGTCCATAGAAAAATAAGGTGGGAATTCTGAAAAAAAAAAGCAAGTTTTAGAAAAGTGTTTGATTTCAAGTGTACAATTCCCATCATATGTAATCATAGGACTTGACAGCTGTTGAAAGTACAGAGGCCACATGAGAACAAGCATAGCTGAGCATCATTTAAGGCCTTCATTGGGAATTGTTGCTGTGGGTAATAGGTTACATTCACTTTCACTAACTCGCAGTCAAGGCATTTCCTATTACAAATATGGAAACTCTGACACTTAGAATATTAGATCAGGGGCACAACCAAAGAGGGGGAAGGTGTTTTTGCACAACACAGTTACCAACAGGAATGGGACTGTGATGAACTACGGAATTGAACTTGTCAAGGAGCATTCAAAATTGCACAAAGCACATATTAATGTTGGATTAATGAGTTTTCACTTTCATCACTTCTGGGAATACAGCAGATATTTCAACTGTTAATCACCTACTTTACAGAAGAAAACAAAATCACAGCAAAATAAAAGAAAACCCCATATATTTCAGAAGTAGACCCCACAACATCTTGAGTAAAAGATATCAGTCAGAGTACACTGGGCCATGAGACCTACAGCAGTGGAGGTCAATCCACTCAAGATGACTAGCTGGGAATGGAGAAGCCAGAAAGCTTGTGGGGAAGATTTTGCTTCTGAAAAAGTCGAGACAGAAAAGGTATCACAGTACCCACAGAGCAGATGCCAGGCCAGGAGAAGGCGATGGAGGAAAAGACTACAGTGTCCTGATACAGGCAGAGTGAAAATTACTCCAGCATTTACCTCTGTCTTCTCTGTGTTTTCAGTTGGGACACAGCTGCTATTCCTCACGGGAACTGAATGAGGCCCTGAATCTGGTAAGGGCCAGAGAAGGGAATGGGGCTAAATCTGGCTTGCAAGTTCTGTGCAGAATAAGAAACCCTCCACACCCTCTGCTGCCATCTCACTCTCTTTTCCACATTCAGGTCCCTTACCAGAGTCACAGCGTTTATTGACCAGATGTCTCAGAGGAGGCTGGAGCCCTCTGGGCCTCTGCCTTGAGGGAGACAGAGCAGAGCCCTGGTCCAGGGGTTTTCTTAACTCTCAACAGGCTGCGGACAGGTAGGGCGCTAACCAGTTGGAAAGGAGCTTTAAATCAGGGGTTCCCAGTACATATCAAGAGAAATCACCCATCATGGGAGCACAGACTCAAAATTAAAATTGAAACAGCCATGGATGGGAAGAACATTTATAGGCCCAGGACAGGAGCAGCACTACTCCTTTTCTTCAAGCTATAAGGGCATTTAAAATTCTGTGGATTCACAGTGAATCTAACCTCCATATATCACCAGGCATTGTCAATATTTATGAATAGAAATGAACATGATGATACCAACCGTCATGAGGAAAGCTAAGAGCTACAGAAATTAAATGAAGGCCAGGTCTGGTGGTTCACACTTTTAATCCCAGCACTTTGGAAGTCTGAGGCAGGAAGATCACTTGAGGTCAAGAGTTAAAGACAAGCCTGGCCAGCATGGTGAAATTCTGTCTCTACTGAAAATACAAAAAGAAAAAATTTGCCAAGCATGGTGGCAGGCACATGTACTCCCAGCTACTTGGGAGGCTGAGACAGGAGAATTGCTTGAACTCAGGAGGCGGAGGTTGCAGTGAGCAAAAATCATGCCACTGCACTTCAGCCTGGGTGACAGAGCAAGGTTTTCAAAAAGAAAAAAAAAAAAAAAAAAAAAAAAAAAGAAAGAAATAAAAAAAAAAAAAAAAAAAAAAGAAATAAAAGAAAAGAAAGAAATCAATTGGAAAGTTTTAGGGTTGCACTTCAAATGTTAAAGGAGTAACATTACATAGAAATTTAGCTTACTAAAGGAGTTACATAGTTCACAATAAACAATTTAAACCAGCAAAAAGAATAAAGGAAGTTCCAAAGAGTGCAAATAAATGCTTCTTTTCTTAAAGCAGATCTCATGGTACTGCTTTATTGATCCATGAAGACATTGCCCAAAAATCTCTGCTCTCATCAGCACTTACAGCTCCCATTCTAAAATGCTATGTTTGTTACTTTTCTCAAATGAAAGAAAAATAAAGCCTTCACACTGACTCAAGGTGGGAAGGGGAGCTGGCCCATTTGCCTTGCAGGCTCATCTTAGCTGTTAAAAGTAACCAAGACTTCAGGGTGGGGCAATGTCCACAGTCAGTGGAGGGGCCTGAGCTCCACCATTCACAGGGAATCAGCCAAGAGGCATTCAGCTAGGGCACCTGAGAAAAATGGGGTCCTGCCACCCAAAGGAACAACTGTTCTCTTCATAAGTGCTTGGAACTGTTTCCAGGAAACATGACAATTACCCAACCCGAGGCTTCACCACCAAAAGGAGAAGCAGGGCGTGTGGATTGTGCAGCAGAAATTAAGCGGCTGCCTTGATAGGAGCTTCTACCTCTCCGGAAAGTGTTCTTTATGCCCAAGTGTTTCTTGGCCAGCTCCTCACTCATATGTCTCTCCGGCATTCTTCTTTTTCCTCATTTCCCATCTAGAAGACAGAGAAAGAATTGACTTGAAGAAGAATTAAAACACCATGTTCTTTACTAGGCACTCAAAGCTTCAACTAAAAAAACAAAAAATTCTTTAAAATGACCATCACAACTGGGTGAGGTGGCTCATGCCTGCAATCCCAGCACTTTGGGAGGCTGAGGTGGGTGGATCATCTGATTTCAGGAGTTTGGGAGCGGCCTGACCAACATGGAGAAACTATCTCTACTAAAAATACAAAATTAGTCAGGCATAATGGCACATGATTTTAATTCCATCTACTCAAGAGCCTGAGGCAAAGAATTGCTTTAACCCAGCAGGTGGAGGTTGTGGTGAGCTGAGATTGCACGACTGCACTCCTTCTGAGTGACAGAGCCAGACTCTGGCTCAAAAAGAAAAAAAAATCCATCACAATGACCCATCTGTGCTGCTTGTAGGCAGACTTCCTCTCTGCCATCTCCCTATCCAAGGCTTGAGCACAGAGCTGTAGTGAGAAAAATACATCCATGTCCTGACCTCACTGACTGTGCCCAAAAGCAAGGAAAACAAACAAACAAAACTTTCTCAGTTGTCAAGAGCCTTTCTTGCAGAAGGGGCCATCTGAAAAAGCCACTATGCCCAGCCTGAAAGAACATCTTTTAAATTATTTGTAGAATTTGATTCTTCTGATTTGAACTCCCAGGTAATGCAAATTACCTTGGAGTTAAATTCAGAATTAGTACCTTAAAAAACATCCCATCCCCAGGCATGGTGGCTCATGCTTGTAACCCCAGCACTTTGAGAGGCTGAGGCAGGTGGATCACTTGAGATTGGGAGTTTGAGACCAGCCTGGCAAACATGGTGAAACCCCATCTCTACTAAAAATACAAAAATTGGCTGGGTGTGGTGGCAACCACCTGTTGTTTTAGCTGCTGAGGGTGGGGGTTGAGGCAGGAGAATCACTTAATCCCAGAAGGTAGAGGTTGCAGTGAGCCAAGATCACACCATTATACTCCTGTCTGGGTAACAAAACAAAAATCTAAAAAAAAAAAAAAAAAAAAAAAAAAAAAAACTTCCCACAATTTATATTAACAATTCTCTTTTCAAGACTAAGTGGAGTAGGGACTGTTAAATGCAGCAGGGCATGGTGGCTCACACGTGTAATCCCAGCATATTGGGACATGCAACTTGGAAGGTGGTGGATCACCTGAGTTCAGAGTTCAAGACCAGCCTGACAAAAATGGTGAAATCCCGTCTCTACCAAAAATACAAAAATTAACCAGGCATGGTAGTGCACACCTGTAATTCCAGCTACTTAGGAGGCTAGGGCAGGAGACTCAATGACACCTGGAAGGCAGAGGTTGCAGTGAGCTGAGATTGCGCCACTGAACTCCAGCCTGGGCCAGAGACTGAGACTCGATTTAAAAAAAAAAGAGAGAGAGAGAGAGAGAGAGACACTGTTAAATGTGCCTAGGTTTCTTCATAACTCATTTATTTTTTGTTTTCTACATATCTTGAAAGGCAGTCCTGAATGGAGGGTAATTATGTAGGTTGTAAAAATAAAACATACTTCCTCTTCCCTTGAATATAAAACAGCATTGTGGGATTAGTGCTTTTTTCTTGGATCGTTGTTCAGAAGGAGGGTCAGCCCCCAGCCACATTTTTACTATCATGAATGGCAAGAGAAAATGTACAGCTCAATTTACCCAATGGACAAAAAGGCTCAAACGATGGCACAACTTAGCAGCCAACTTTGGACATGCTGATCCCTCTCCACTTGCAACTGGGAACGTGCACTTTGAGTGATGTCACTCAAAATTACCCTGCCCAGACACACTCTTCATTGATTCTCTGAAGGGCAATTCCAACAGATTCTCTGGGGCTTTCTCTGCATCATGAGTGGCAGTGCAGCTCTGCTCTTCACTTTCCTGCAGTTTGTCACCTCTTCTCTATGATCTCAGAGGAAGTTTGTCTTAGGCCAAATGTTTGTTTCTTGGGCTCTTTCATTTCCCCCTAAAAATCACTTACTACCCTTCTAAGTTGCCTCCATCTCCATCTATCTCCCTCTCTCCTAAAAAGAGAGTGCTCCTTAAGCACCAACCATCTGAACCTTCTTGCAGTCTCATTTTTTGGCTGGCTCCCATGTTTATGCCTGTTCTACATTTTTCTTCTGTTAAGCTATCTCTTGTTAGTTCATTTCTGCATTGAACTTTCAGAGGGGAGAGTAAAAGCTTTCCTTCCAGCCATAAAATAGAATTATGAAGCAGAAAAGCTTAGAAAGAATTTTCTATTTAAGTGACAAAACTTCATACTCCATTTCTGATAAAGAGCACAAAGGTTAAAAAAAGAAAGAAAGAAAGAAACTGGCCAAGCGCAGTGGATCATATCTGTAATCCCAGCAGTTTGGAAGGCCAAGGAAGGCGGATCACAAGGTAAAGAGAGCGAGACCATCCTGGCCAACATGGTGAAACCCCATCTCTATTAAAAAATACAAAAATTAGCTGGGCATGGTGGCACACACCTGTAGTTCCAGCTACTCTGGAGACTGAGGCAGGAGAATTGCTTTAACTGGGGAGGTGGAGGTTGCAGTGAGCCGAGATCGCACCA